GAGTGAAATATTTATCGTATTTTTTGACCCATAAGTTATCTCTCAGGAAAGTAGTGTTTATATAATTTACAATTTAATACTCGATTGTTGTTGAACCGATCATTCCCAACTGAATTGTACGGCCTATTTTTTTTTAATATATGTGTTTGGGTATATGAAAAATGTTCGGTTTCCAATAGCTTGTACCCATTAATAAGAAAAAGGGGGCGGTGACACGAAAAAAGAAAAACACAACTTGTATTCTTTTTCCTTATTATTCATCTTGTTGTTCTAGATAAAAGAGTAAAAAGAAAATTTGCAGAGAAAGTACATTGACATTTAAACATATTTTATCAAAGGGTAACATAATTCTAGTTAAACAAAACAAGTACATTCGATATGATGGATACTTATGATCATGACACTAATTATCATCAAAATGATAAACATGCAAGTGATGATGATAGCTCAATATTTATGAAAAATATATCAAAGAAGGTAAACATGATATAGATATTTAATTAAATAAATTAGTTTTTTTGTCTTATCTTCACTTATAATAAAAGAAGAAGGCATGCCCAACTTTGTTTTCATTAAATGAAAGACATATTTGCTGAGTGGCATATACACAGTGAATTAGAAGACTCACGAAGTGAAATTTATGAGATACTGAAATTTTAGTGGGTAATTTTTTTTGGGAGATGAAAAAAATTCGTTTTCTAAAATTCCCAAATTTTATTAGAGGATATTTTTTTCTTGCATGCATATAATGTCATGTTTCCGATAAAATTATCTATTCAAAAGAAAAAACTTGCTTTTATTGTTTTCATACATTTTTTTTCGAATATGAAACTTATATATGAAATGATTATATTAAAAATAAATTTTAGATGAACCCAAATCGCTCAAGTCGTCATCTACCAAATGAATCATGTCGTGTATGTGGTTTTGAGAAAACTACAGGTCGTAATTTTGGTGTTATAACTTGTTCAACATGTAAAGCATTTTTTCGAAGAAATGGTCGTACAGGTTCAGTAAGTAAAAAACAAACAAATAAAAAATAATATTCTTGTTCTATTTGATTAGTCTTTACCCCCGTGCCGTTTTGGTGGTAAATGTCCTGTTAATGAACGAACACGTCGTCAATGTCCAACATGTCGTTTAGCAAAATGTTTTGCTGTTGGTATGCAAAAAGATTTAATACGAACAGAAGAAGAACGTGCTGCACGGTTACAATTAGTTAGAGCTAATCGTTTACAAAGAAGTGAAAAATTACATCGAAAAAAATCCTATGATATAGATGAAAATGATTTTCAACATAATAAATCATTAATGCCAACATTATCATCAAATGATTGGATACAATTAACAAATATTCGTAGTGCATATGAACATTTTTGTTTATATCCTATATTACGTTCAGAAGAAGAACGTGAAGAATATTTAAATACTCTACCAATTAAATATCGTTTAAAAGAACATTCATTTGTAAATGTATTAAATACACGTTTAGTATCACTAACTGCATTTTTTCATGCAACTATACCAGAATTTTCAGTTGCAATGAATAGTAATGATCGTCAATGGTTAATACGTACGAATATACATTATCTACTTTCATTTTCATCAATGGATTTAATGAATATAAATGGAAATCAATTACATTTTGATGAAAATAGAGCCTGTCATAATGTTTATTTATATGTTTTTGGACAAGACTTATTAATACGTGGACAATATTTAATACATAAATTAAATCGTTGTATTGGTTTTGATCCCATTATAAGTAAAATGATGCAAATTATTTTATTTCTTTCTCCATGTCTAGTTACTAATTATTTACCCGCTGTGAGTTCTTATCAACCACCGTTAGAAACAATCTTACATATAGTTCATTCACAAGAACAATATACTCAAGTATTATGGTCGTATTTAATGTATCGTTATGGAGAGATTGAAGCACAAAAACTATTTATGTTAATTATTGGACAAATTTTACAACAACAAAACTATGGAGCTGATATCGATACAAGATTAATTGAAAAACAACCATTCGGAAATCTTGTTTATACAATATTAACAACATTTTCAACAGATTAGATTAGTAGAAATATGTATTTATTTAAATATTGAATTATGGTCAAATACGGTGATTTATATTTGGAATTCTGAAGAAAATCCATCAAACATTATTGTTTGCCTTAAAAGTCTAGATTGAACTTGTTGTTTTTTTAACTTTTATTTCGTTATATAAACATATGTATGTATTTTGTTTTGTCAGAAAAAATATATCGTTTCAAAAGTTATTATTATAGTATTGGTTGCTTGAAAACTGCACAGAAAAAAATGCAAATACTTGATCAAAATGAAATCGTCTATTTCATTTAATAAGATAAGCTAACAAGAAGATCATAAGTCTACTTCAATGATAAGATTAAGAGAAAAAAGTAAATCGGTAACTTATTGTCAAGTTCGTTTGATAATGCCGAAGTCAATTCTTTACAATGCACATTTTCACCTAACGATCATATCTATTATTACTAATATGATTCAAGCCGAGCAACAATTCCGCTGGTAAACCATTCAGTATTATGTGCGGTATTTGCCAGTATATTAACAATCAATAAGCGGTAGTTTAACATTTAAACGGTCGAATAGCCTATGACCTCCATTCTTCTGTGGTATGCCTATAGTTGTGCTTCGACCGGTAATCTACTGCCGATTTGAGAACAAACATCTAAGATGGGTAATTATATCCGAAACTAAAAATAAGAAAATCTCGTCTAATGATATATTTATGTAAAGGTAGAATTACTTATTAAAGACTCATTAATCGTACTCAAAATGAATGTGAACTCATTAAACAATTCAGAGGTTTTTGTTTATTTTGAATGAAAATAATTAATAAACGTTTCAAAGACATGCAAAATTATACCAGATCAGTTTGAGTTCTACTCCGATAACTTCAAATCGAGTTTGAAAGCATACTTTATCTATAGAAAAAGCACTTTGAGAAGCATTGCTCGTAAGTTTCAGTTGTTCATAATTTGTCATGATTTCCTTCAGAATCAAATAATATTAATGAAAGTATCCATCTGTCTATGTCAAACAATTTTAAAGAAAACCGGGTGCTCTTTATCAAATAATAAAGTAATGTGCCTCACCAAAACTGACTTTTTAGAATTATTAACTAAAACATCTATACATTAATTCACTAATATGATGTTAAAATTTGAATAACTAATTTCAAAAAATTCATTTCATATAATTGTCATAGTTATAAAAAGTTTAATCTATATTTTTATTTTATTTGAGACTAACATTATATGAAGTAATAAGAAACAAAAGAAAACAATATTCGATTTCTTTATAGAATAGATTTAGATAACATATCGATTATCTTTCACAAATATTAATAAAATATATCAGTAGTTCGGAAAAACAATTTCTTAAATGCTTCTTTAAGTAAATCATGATATATTGTTGTTGTGTTGAACTAGACAATTTTAATATGTAAGTGAATTAACAGATGTGCCATTCAACAAAAAAGAAGAACATCCTAAACTTGATGTTCAAAATAGAATATTCGGGTTTTTATTTTCATGTTTTACATTGATAGAATAAAAAATGCAAATAAAAAAGATATTCTTATATAACAAAATCTTCTTTTTATTATATGCATAAAATAAAATGTCTCATAAATTATCTATTTTAGTTATTTTTATTCTATTATCAATATTTATTCTTGCATATGATTATTAATTATTTACGAAAAGGCATTTGAAAAGAATTACTTTTTTCTTTTGATAAGAATAGTTTGAGACATCTGAAACAAAAAAATGGAACATAAGTTTATCAAGTTCTCACCTATTATTTATGTCTTGTATAGACTAATATAAAAGAAATTATGATATGAATATTCAAGGTTTAATGCAACTACACAAGTATGTAATCAAACAATAACTTGATTGATAATTATTCATGATAAAACTTAAATTACAGAACTCCATGTACTTGCTCATCCAATATGACACATATTAGAATTTGATGAAAAAGATATTTTTGAGAAGCCGACATATTCCGTCTTTTTAATATATTTTGTCTTTATTCAAAGCGAGTCAAGATTAACAAGAATAAATCTTCGCTCATCAATAAAACAAATGAATAATAACATGAAATATCAAACAAAACTTTTGTTTAAAGAGAGTTATTGATTTTAATTAATAATTTATATTTAAATGTTCCATTAAAAATATTATAAATTCAATCGAAAATAAAACGATTCTTATTGTATTTAATATCTCAATGAATGAAAAGTAATGCTAAACTATTTGTTCATACTATTTCTGCAGAATATATTTTCATTTTTTCGAACACATTTTTTCTGTCGAATGAATTCGACTTTTTTTTTACTTCGCTTCTTTCACATGCTATCGTGTAGCGTCATCTTGCATTTGAATTGATCTTATTTGTCAACCACTATTTGTTTATTCATCACAAAGATAATATTTTCAAGTGCTAATGTTCGAAGCTTGGGCTTTTTGTTTGTTGAGTTATAATAATAATTATAGAATATTTATTTTGATTGGTTTCTTTGTGCAAACGGCCCATCTACCTGCATTAATCATCAAACTATCTATTTGCAATATCATCATTATGCTTCATTTCTCGCACATATAATTTCTTTCATAATATCTAAAGAAGTCGTAATGTACGAATAAGATAGCGTTTTCTTTTGACCTTACTTTTGTCGAAAAAATTTCTGTAACATAAAACACTTAAAATATTCCGAGAAACACACAAAGTTGTCTTTTTTTTCTTTTTCTTTCAATCGTCTGTCGAATATATTACCTACAATAAACGAGAGTCGAGGTTATTTAAAAGCACAGCGAGCATGATGAAGCATAAAAAAAAATAAAGAGGAAGAAAGAGGAAGGGAGGTATAAAGCAACCATTGCATTTGTCGTTATTTGTGACAACGCAAACACACATCGAACTATTGTAAAGCGTTACTTTTCATCATGTCTAGAGCTGCTAGTGCATCAAAATCCGGACCGATGACAGCACAACCTGCTTCAACTAACAAAACACGAATTCATGTTATCTATTATTCAATGTACGGTCATATTGCAACAAGTAAGAATCGATCTATTATAAATTTAGAAATAAATTCATCATTGGCATTTTTTTCTTCGTAGTGGCCAAATCCATTGTTAAAGGCGTCGAAGCAGCTGGTGCTGAAGTTCGTCTAATCCAAATACCTGAAACATTATCACAAGATGTTTTAACGAAAATGCATGCACCAGAAAAAGATAAAAGTGTACCAACAATAACATTTGGTGAAGCTGGTGAAAATACTGTAGGATTTGAAGATGCATTAACGAATTGTGATGGTATTTTAATGGGTATTCCAACTCGTTTTGGTGGTATGCCAGCTCAAGTTAAAGCTTTATGGGATGCTACCGGTGGATTATGGATGAAAGGTGCACTGGTGGGTAAACCAATTAGTGTATTCTTTTCATCTGGTACACAAGGTGGCGGGTACGAGAATTATTTTTTCAAATATTCATTAAAAAAAATTGTTTTTCTCTCTGTAGACAAGAAACAACAACATTAACATCATTAACAAATTTTATTCATCATGGTATGGTTATTGTAAGTATTAATCTTTATTATTATATTTTTTGCAATGAAGTATTTTTAACTATCTTTTTTTTAAATAGGTACCAGTCGGTTATTCATGTCCACTTCAAACAAATATGAGTGAAATTCATGGTGGTAGTGCATACGGTGCTGGTATGTTTATTTGGTTTATGTTTGATTTTTTTATTTGGATATATTTACAGGTACCTATGCTGGTGTTGATGGATCACGTCAACCAACTCAACTTGAATTACAAATAGCTGAACATCAAGGAACATATTTTACACAAGTAGCAACTGCATTAAAGATTGGTCGAGCTGCATTACCAGCAAAAGATGCTCATCCACCTGATCCAAAACAAGGCGATGTGCAACCAAATGTTGAACGACCACCATCAGCTAAAAAATAAGCTGATGTTAATGACTATCTAGATTATCTTTTTTATTAAGTTTCCTTCACTTCTTTTTTGATAAGACACATGTCGAACTAAAATCTTAATCAATAAAGTCGATGAACTAGCAATTTTTACACCAACGATTTATAATTAGACATAAGGCTGCTATAGCATTATTTATTATTAAGAACACTTGTTTCAAAAAACTCAGCTGCTGATTGATAGCATCATTTCAATTTGATTTCGATTGGCTACAGTAATATTCAGTTTCTTAGTGTTGATACAAAATAGTCTATAACTTTTAAGATGAAAAAAAAACCGTTGATTGTATTCATTTTGATAATTGTGGATCTTTGTGTTCTTTCGTTGTAAGGACATTGAATTCGAAACAATATTTAGGTTGTGAATTCAAAAACGGGATGACGAAGCACTACTGAACAAGATAATCAATATGCATGGTCGGAAAATTCTGCAGAAAGAAAAGTAATGGTTATTCAATTGATTTAATTGGATCAACAGTAAAAATAATTCAACGAATTGATTTAAAATATAAGTATCTTTGTTTTACTCGTACATTATCATTAACTATGTTTACTGCTATTTTTGTATTAATAATCATAAAAAATCATTTCTAGTTAATTGACAATTTATACTAAAGAAATTCATTTCAAATGTTAAAGAAGAGTAAAGATGAATGGAACTACTGGACCGATTTTGATGTATATATGTTTTGTAAGCAGAAAAGGATTTGATTGTAGGAGCGGAAGCTACATTTAGAGAACAAAAGCGAACGATTTTTAAAATGAAAACAATACAAGCCTTGAAGTATATCAATAAAACCATAGTTAATCTAGCGCTCTCGGTAGTTTTTGTTGAATAATGAAATGAAAATATCCTTGAGTATTTCGATCAATAAAATTCGTATATCTTTCTATCTTTCAGAAAAAAACCAGTTTATTTCTCAATAAGATGCCAATTATTATGAGTTCCGTTCTAATTTTTTTTGAAAAAGGTTTGAAGTAACGGTTGGACTTTTTATATATAACTGAAATAGTTCCATTACATGTATGTAGTTGATTTGGAATTTGTTTTCAATTATTTATAGCAGTAACTGTATTGTTATCTCAATTACTTGGCTTATCGGTTCTCTCAAACGTAACGCGGTGATGTTGGGACCACAGTATTATTAGCCTCTCTCAGCAATTAGATTATCTAGTAAGTTCTTTCTTTCGTTATTAGATATATCTCTGCCTTCCCCAAAGTCTCTGAAAATTTGAGCTCGTTTGAATGAGTCGTTTGAAAATTAAAGTAAAAATAGATGACGTATAGCGCGATAATGAACAAGAGACAAAAGTTGAGAATGACCTGTTTATTCTTTATTTTACTACGAATGTGCGCTACATTAAGAGAAACGTTCCATAGACATTTTGTAGCAAACAGTTTAAGGTATCTAATGGAAAAAAGAACTTTTCAAACAGCGTTCTTATTTTGAAGAGAGATCGGTTTAATTAAGGTAACGCGATGGCGATGATTTCTGCTAATAAGTTTTTTTCTATGCTATGTTTTCCTATATGTATAATTATGTAAAGACGAGATACTATTTTTATCTCCATGATTAAACTTTACAGATGTTAAATATGTTTCCATACACTTTGTACCATGCTCTACAAGATTCACATAAGGGATTTAAAAAATGATGACTTCAACTTTCCGGTTCTCGAGATTAGGCGTTACGCGTTTTGCCCGTTATACAGTAGTGGACAAAAGTTCCGCCCCTATGGGAAAACAATCTAAATAAGGGTTATTTGCTTTGAAACTTGTAGTGACGTAAGGATTTGGTGAGTTCTGATCGCAGGCAAAAGCTCGAGTCCTGTTCCCTTACTGAGGCTAAGATATCAGGTCAACATCAAGGATTTTTTTTCTATATTTTTGACGAAATCATGTGATATCGGAAGGAAATGTTGGTACTTTTCGATTTGCTGAAGTAAAGGTAATATTTTTAGTACAATAGGCAGTTTCGATAGTAGTCTATCTATACCAGAAAGGTCACTTAGATTTACTGTATCCTAGTGATTTATTAGAGCTGTCGATCCAGAGGTATAGAAGGATATGGATCTCCCTCTCTGTAAAGGCTATAATGGTGGAAGTTTTAACATAGGTTTGCCTGTACTTATGAAGTCTACAATAACATTTTCAGGCCGAACGACTGAGCCTAGCGCGAGATTTGAATCGAATACTGATAGGGTTGTAATATGCTAGTTTCGAGTGTAAGCAGTGTATAGGCCACAACTTAACGAAAAAGCGTCGGTTTGTAATGAAAATTTTACTGAAGGGAGACTAAGAGCGAAGCTTTTCAACAACGGGTCAACCGGCATTGTGTCCCTTTCCTAGCCCGAGATAACACAATAAGAAAAAAATCCCTGATGTTTACCTGATATCTTAGCCTCAGTAAGGGAATAGGACTCGCCAAGTCCTTACTTCACTACAACTTTCACAGCAAACAACCTTTATTTAGATAGTTTTCCCATAGGGGTGGAACTTTTGTCCACTACTGTATATGATTTAAGGTCAATAGCTCTTGTGGAACTATCTTTTTATTTTGTCTGCTTCGTTAATTCTTTTTTGGCGTCAATTTTTTTTATTATAACATCAATGCATTTTGCTTATATATATGCATGAAACATAAAAACTATGTTCTACAATAAAATAAGAACGACGGGACTTAGTTAGAGGAAAATGCCCCCCCCCCTCTTCTCTGTCAAAAAAAGCTTTCCCTAACAATTTGCAAGGTTGTTGTCCTGTGAATTTCAGAAGCTTCTTCTCAATAATTGTATGTTTGTACCAACTCTTTATTTGCTATAATTAATATCATATTTATGTATGATGCATGTTGTCACAGTTATTTTCTTCCCTTATATGTTTGATATATAATTGTATCAACGTAAAATTTGTTAAAAAGCATTTATCAGAAATAATGCGTAAAAATTGAAAAATATCAGTTTATATTTCATATAGAATCAGAGACCTAAAGGTAATAGAGATGAAAATGTCTCACAACAGTTAATCCCTGATAATTTCTATGATTTCAACAACAACAACAACAACAATGAACTTAAAACTAATAATAACCAAGAAGTTTCAGTTGCTATTTTGTTATTATCTGTTAATTAAAATTCTAACATTGTTATTAATTGTACCTGTCAACAATGATAGTATTGGATTATATGTTTCATAGATATTAGTAATTGATCGATTTCTCAACATTCATGGCTATCTAAATATTCTTGACTGGTATAGGCGGAAACGCATCAAGGTGGTTATTGTCGATACTGCGTTTCATTTTCAAGATAAGATGAATATCAGTCTCTCAATCAATTTATTTATAAACCGTTGCGATCGTTAACAAATGCTGTCGATTATCTATCGACTCAGAATAAATGTGATTATCATAAACTTTTCGTTTCTCAAGCAACTAAATGCATTAATCGTTATTTTCATTGAAGTTTAGATATTTTAACATATTATTCAAGAATGTTGATGTACAGTAACAGAAGGAAAATCGATTTATAGTAGCAAGTATAGTTAAATGTATTTTAATTTTATCGACACAAAATCTAGCATTCTGAGATATGGACGACGATGATATACCAGATCATGACAATTTCAGTCAAAGCAGCTTTAAATCACTAATATTACGAAGAACCAAAGATAGAGATCAAGTACTGCAGATGTATTTGAAGCATTACGAAAAAAAATGCTACATACATGTGTCCAGATATACAAAATAAAGTGATCGAAACTTGTGCAAGGTTTATTCAAAAATACATATCGAATGAATTAATTGGTCGAAATAGATTTTATGTAGTGATTGTTGACGAAACAGCTGATGTGTTAGTAACAGAACAACTGCCTAATTTCAATAAGGTCCATCTCTGAAGAAAATGATATTTCAAAAATAGAGATCTTTCTTGAATTTACAGCTTTGTTAGAGTTGGCTGCTGCTGGAACTATCCAATCTATTATCCTATTGATCAAGAATTACAATCTTAACATAGAAAAACTTTGCGGGATATTCCTTGATGATATTTAAAAAACTGACTAGATTTATGCATTTGTAGGCTAGAAATATGATGGTACTGATGTTGTTGCTTGAAACTAGTACTTGCTCATGCTTGTATTCTTCAAGGTATGAAAACATGTTGTGGAACGGTGAAGAATATTATTATATTTATTAATGCATTGTCAAAACGGAAAATAATATTACCTGAACCTATTGAATCAATCTCCAATGAAATCAAACGTCGGTAACTTGTTAAATTATGCGAAACACGATGGGTTGAAAAAGAAAAATCTATTATTGTGTTTAAACAAATATATTTAAATGTCATTGTTGCTTTAGATTATTCAATCGAAAACGGTAATTCAGAGACAAGTAATCTTGTTTAAGTTGTGAAAAGGTGTTGATTGGTATTGATTTTACTTTGCCTTTCATTATTATTAACTTTGTATGCCGAACAATTGTAAAAGCCAGCATATAATCCTGTTAAATGTTATAAAAGGATACAACAAGCACCAATTGTGACGGATTCACTGGTCATACACTCACCGCTGTGAGCAACCGCTCTCTCTGTTATTATATTCTTCTTTCTGTTCTTCTTTTTTTCTCTCTTTCACGCACACATATAAATACTCCTGTTCGTATATCATTCACTGGTCATTCTTGGCTTATTTTCCCATCTCTCTTTTCTCCTTTCATCGTTGTGCTGTATCTCTTTCATCAATATATGATAGAATAAAGTGCAAATAACTCGAATCTATCACAGAAGGAATATAAATCTTTGCTTGTGGTACATTTGAACCATTTAATCCTATTGCAGAAGCTATCCAAAGCTGTATATCATGACGCTACAAGTAAGAAATGCTTTTTCTGTCTTCACGAGAAAAGAAACTGAAGTACTTTCTTAATCTTTGAGCATCAATAACAATCAAGGTACTAAAGAAGAGATGCAACATGA